CCGACGTCCAAAGAAAGTCCATCGCCCAGGGGAAAACAAAAAACGGGGCTGACGTGCTGATCCCCTGACTGCAACCCCCATCTCAACCGAAAAACGTAGTCAGAGTCTCCTCCTGCCTGTCCTTACCCGTGTCTTGGCCCCATCATACATGTCCTGGATCACTCTAATATATGCTACAGGCACACCACCCGTCTCCAAGCATCTCCATGGAACTTCTCTCGGTACTTTGTCATAGGCTTTCTCCAGGTCAATGAACACCATATGCAAATCCTTCTTCACTGCCCTATACCGCTCTACCAATCTCCTTACAATGTGTATGGCCTCAGTAGTCGACCGTCCCGGCATGAAACCGAACTGGTTCTCAGAAATGGACACACACCTCCTCAATCTCCCTTCAATCACCCTCTCCCACACTTTCATCGTATGGCTTAACAACTTGATACCCCTATAGTTGTTGCAGTTTTGGACATCCCCTTGTTCTTGTACAACGGAATCATCGTACACCGCCTCCACTCTTCGGGCATCTTCTTCGTCCTAAAAATAACGCTAAACAACCTAGCAAGCCATTCCACGCCCTCCTTGCCCACACTCTTCTAGAATTCCACCGGGATCTCGTCCGGCCCAGTCGCTCTACCCCTACTCATACTGCGCATAGCCTCTTCCACCTCCCCCACCCGTATGCGCCTACCGTACCTAAAATCTCGCTGCCACTCCGAGTACTCCAACTCCCCCAATGCGATGCCCCTATCTCCCTCCTCGTTCAAGAGTTTATGGAAGTACGCCTGCTATCTCCGCCTAATCTGTGCCCCCTCCAATAGAACTCTTCCCTCCTCGTCTTTTATGCATCTCACTTGGTCCAGATCCCGGGCCTTCCGCTCCCTCACCTTAGCTAGCCTATACAATTTCTTGTCCCCACCTTTAACCCTCATTTCTTCGTATAAACGACTAAATGCCGCGGCCTTAGCTGCCGTAACCGCCAACTTTGCCTCTCTCCTAGCCTTCTTGTACCTCTCCTTGTTGGCACTCTTCTGCCCTTCGTCTATACTCTCTACTAGCTTCAAATATGCCGCTTTCTTTTATTATTATTATTATTATTATTATTATTATTATTACTAATTCAAACATGTTAATATCATAGTGGGTGAGATAAATTTTCTAAGCTATCCGTATATAAATTATGATCTGCTATTGAAATAGGTCAAATATCAACAATACAAAAATTGAGCTAGTCCTGAAATCATTGTAGTTAGAAGTCTAAATATCCAATAAGATGATTGAAGTGTCTTGGGGAGTCAAAGATATTGCAATATTCAGGAATAGAAGACGTCGAAATAAAATAAAGTGGAATAAAGGAAGCTAACCAGTCAAAACTACTAAAATCGCATTAACTCACAACAAGTCCACTAATAAGGATCGTTGAAACTATTCTTAGTCTCATTTGGACCTGAGGGATGTGATATTTCAACTCCTGGCAGTTCAGAGTGTTAATGTTTTTCTGTTTTGCCTTTTGCTTTTAAAGATAAGTCAGTAGAAAAAATTACCAGACCACGCCCAACTTGCATCCAGTTCTGCGTCTTCCACTAAAACATGCAATGGCTTTAAAGATACCTCTTCTTCAAGTCTATACCTAAACCAGCATAAAAATTCCAATGGAATTTTTGCAGTTCAGGTCAATCTTGATTGGAGCAATAAATGTTTTACATGCTAGTTGATGTTATCCATGTTTGCGAACAAGAGGTACCTACTTAGAGATTCAGAGTGTTTCTCATAGAAGTTGCCAGGCACCTAGATGTCATGTAGGTGCTTTCACCATAAGAAAATAATATGCAGTTTAACCACATAATTGAAAACAGTAATAGCCCTTGTTTGACATGCCAACTGCCCAGCAGAGATATATTATAAGCTCAAAGGAAATAGAGGAAAGGACCAAGAGAAGAAGGTGCAGTTTCAGATTTCATATAGGTTGTTAATCTTTCATTTTGCATGTAGAATAAAACCAAAAGGGTAAGATGCAATATATCCATTTTTGCTTCTGAAAACATGCTAATTATGATTGCTTTTAGACACCGGCATCTAAGCCCCTCTTGCTATGATACAATAAACTCATAAAATTCTTCATCAACTCTTAAATCTGAAAATTGTAAGCAATTGCGGACTTTGCCAACAAAGTTTGCTCAATGGTGTGAAATGAGAGGTTCAGTTGATCAGTAATATTTTAGCAAAGTCAATTCAAATGTCACTTGCACTCTGTTTGGTGTTCTAACCTTCTCGTTTTACAACAAACATACATAAAACTGCTCTGCCTCAAGCCAGAAATTTGATTGAATCAAGAAACCTTTAGGTTCAACTATAAGGTCGAGCAGAACCTCGCAAATGCCTCCTACGAACCTAGCATTTTGTTATTAAAGCACAGCCCCTCATTGGCTCATTCTGAGGTAAAGAAATCTTACGGGACTAGCTTTCAGACAAAGACCAAGCTGAGCTGGATCACAGGCTGTTCGATCTTGGCTAAACTGGGTGTCAGTTGTTCTCGAGCTCGAGCTCAAAATTGTAGAGCTCATTTCATTTGGCAGTCAGCCTATTCAAGCCAAGCAAAAGTGTCTATAAGGTGAAATCACACTCTATCTAGTCTCCTAGCTACCCGTGCTACATTTTGTTTCAGTTACAAAATGTAGCAGTAATACTTCTATCTCCATGTTCAATTTATGCCAAGTAAGATTATCATGACGCTGTCACTCTCCAGCCATCACCGAGCCTCTGTCGAATGAGCTTGCGATGGGTTCATCTTTCATATGGGCTCCCTAATACGGATTGATAACCTAAAAACTGTTTTTTATCAGTTGATAGACTAGAAGCTTTCTTTTCTCACCTAAATAGTTTGCAAGACCTCACTTGTTTTCTCTTTGTAAATTAACTTCTTTTTTTTGAGAATGGTAACTTTGTAAAAGTACATGTTTGGTAGTTGGAGAACCTAACACTCTCTTGACTTTCAACAACCATTTCCTTTTGAGTCAAGCATGCAATTCCAGACTCCTTACTCCCTACATGAGCGAAAGTGTTACTATTTTGAAAAATCCAGAAGCTTCATACAACTCCTCACTGAACTAAATAGTAGGCACACAGTCTATAACCCAACATCAGATAAAATTGCAAGGAATCTAAGTGAAGAAGAGCTTCTCATTAAAGTGCCTTCATAATACTTAACAAAATGAGTGCCTTTAAAGTGATTGATCTAATTCCAGAATAAAAATGCATGAAACTCTTAGTAAAAAACCAAATAGAACTCAGCTGAAATAGAGGCGCTTGCAAGTTGCAAGTAAAATGAAACGAAAGCATACCACGAAACTGTCATCGGTGAAGAGGTCATTAGCCACCACCGCCCTCATGGTCCATGTAGTTACCATATTTTGCTGTTTCTTCGAAAGACACTGCATATGAAAAAATTTACAATCAGATAAATTACACTATAGGAAGAATCAAACAAAACTGCTTGTAAACAAATGATGCACTGCTTACTTCAATTGTATCTTGCACAGCTGTGAACAACTCGTGATAATCTGCTCGTACAGAAGGCTCATTACAGGTGGTAAGTGATGACATTGCAGCTTCAAGAATGGCAAAGAAATGGTCACTAGTTGCAGGCTTTACACTGCCAGCCTGAATCAGCTGCAATGCAAGCTTTGACGCTTTACTAAACTTTTGAATGTTCTTTATATGTGATGCTATTTTTTGCATGGCTTCAATAACTTGCGTCTCTGAGGCATCCGTGATTGTTTTAAACCTCAATCGTTTTTCAGGAGCAGAAGCTGCAAGTCATCAACAGCCACTCAATACTTTACCCAGCTCAAATATTCACCAAACAACAACAAACAAATAGTAACAAGTTGTAGGCCTAGGACCATGAACGAGAGAAATGTTCAAAACATGAATTGCTAGAATATGTATCACAAAAAGTGGATAGATTAATCCATGAAGTACGCCTCAATCATAAAATAGTATATATGGCCTCTTTCTTTGCAATACTAAATCACAACAACTACTACTACTACTATTACTATTACTATTACTATTACTATTACTATTACTATGCCTCAATCCCAAACAAGTTGGATCTATATGGATACTCACTTTCTCCATTTATCATCTCAGGCCAATGATGCAAATATAAATAAACAGCATTAGGAGTTCTGTATATTTTCTAAAGCCTAAAGGTACAAATATCTGAAAGGTTAAACCACTCCTAGAAAGCACTGCTACCTACTGTAGTAGTGCTAAAGCCTAAAACATATTCTCAATTAATATAGCCTACATACATAGACTAATTTGCTTCAGCTTGTATCACTAGAGTAACAGGACGCAACAATTGGATTAAGGTTGCAGCCTTTTCTAGCTCCCAATTTCAATTTTTTTGTCCGTCACCAAAATTGACCTGAAGGATTGGAAAATTCGAAAAAGGAGCACCACAACAACCCGAATTGAAGTAGAGGAACTTAAAATTAAACAAGTCACCTATCTATTTGATCATACTTGGAACACAAACCCTAGAAATTTCGAACTTATTATGGGTAAGAACAGAAAATTGACCTACTTTCAGGCTGTGATTCTGCAGGTGGTTTGGAACGTTTGAGGGCACTCTTCAAAGCAGGAGGCGGAAGTGGAGGTTGCGGTGGTGGTGGTGGTGCCGAAGCCTCAGTAAGAGCGACGGCGGAACCATTGACGGAAGTTAGTGGCGCTGCCGGAGGAGGCAAATCTTCAAACAGGTCTCCGGCCATTTTGGGATGTTGTGAGGTTTACTGGGCGCAGTGCCCAGAAGAGAGAAAATTATTACTACTCCGATACTACTTATAATATAAGTGGTACTCCTATTAATTACTAAAATAAAAAATATATAGCGTAGCGATATTTATAAAAAGTGTAAAAACAATTAGTTTATGCCTATATGGATTTTAATATTAACTTGACTATGCAAATACATACTCCTCCAATATATGCTCGAAAGAAAAATTAACTATCAGGATTATATATTGCCTTGAAAATTTTGAAAGAAAAAGGTATATCAGTTATCCGTTTAATTATTGCAAAAATTGTGTTTATTGCATAATCAAATATCAATGAAATTGATCATTCATCTTTTGAACATATCCCTAAATTTCTTTTTATTGATATAACCCTTACATCAAAATCCTAATAATACAAATGTGATAAAAGATGTGGGTTTTATGTATTCCAAACAATTGAGTTCCTCACTACCAAAGGTTATATATGGTAGAAAATATGAATACTTCATTATTTAGAATGGAGCGATTTACCTTTTAAAATAGGATATTTTCACGTGAATTTGAATTAATCGAGCTTCAAAGCAAGTATCGAATAACGAATGGGAAACTCCTCGTCTCGTCTACCTTGAGCGGCTTCCACTTCCAAAGTTAACACCTAGAAGTGGTTGTTCAAAAAATTTGGAATGACTCCCACTTGCGAAAATTGCTCGTAGTTAATAATTTTTTTGATAATTTATTACCAATTCGTTGCTAAATCGGATTAATGATGAATTTTTTTATTTAACTATAGAATTTGTTCATCGTCAATTCCTATTTTTTTTTATAGTGTGAACCACAAACTAGAGGAGTATAAGCGCATGTATTTTCATAAATATGTGTTAGCGGTCTCATTTCTATTCAAAACTGCTATGAATAAAATGAACTTAATCTCTTAAAGTGGATATTACTTATCAGTGCTTGTGCATAAGACAAAGTTATACTATTTTCATGACCAACTCCTCATCATAAAAGGGGGAAAAGCATATATTTCTGTATTGACCAAACTTGATAACCAAATTTGAACCGTTATATGTGAATTGCATGTGCAGTGTGCTCCATTACATAGTAAACGAAATCACTAATGTTTGCCTCTCACAAAATACTTGCTCAATTTCAGACAGATAATTAATTTGGTCACTGTTTGAGCTAATAATAGCTAAACTAATTAATGATGAATTAAAGGGGTGAATCTTAGTTAAATTTACTAAATTCTAGACCGAATAAAATAGAGTACTTATGAAACGAGTAGTGCTCAGATTTATCAAATAACGGATTCGATACACTATGATTGACAATAAATATGATAGTACAAATGTACAATAAATTTAAGCAATGGCAATAAATGTAATGAAAAGGGATCTGTCACCCAATTATCATATGATTGGGATGTCCCTTTTCTCTATCTGCGACGTGAAAAAGTAAGAAGTCAAGATGGATGTGGAATCTTGGGATTTATGGATAAAGATTGAGCAACGTGTGCTTGAACAAATCAATGAATAAGACAACTTTTTCGTATATTCTCTTGTTAACCTTTACAATATGTCTTTTTTTCCCCTTTTGTTCCCCATCTCTTCCTATTTATAAGGGATATTCCCCAAAAAACCCTAAAAAGTACAGCATAAAGAATAACCAAAGGAATATTCTTTATGTCCACTTTTGAACCTATGCTACCGTTACTTTCTCATCTCGGCTGCCCGCTTTTGGCATCAGCCTTTGTGAGAACAACCTTCAGTCGTTATATCATGGTCGACCCCGTCCTCTCTCTTGCTTATCCATCACCGTGGTCACCAAATTTGGACCTATACAGTTAGTCCCTCCGCTTGTTGAGGTCGTGGCCCTGCACGTCCTCGATAAGCGAACATCATTTGCTTTCGTCTCGGAGAATTTGGCTGTTGAATCAAGCCGGGTCGACCAAGATCGAGAGAACGACACAACCAGCGGAGTCATGATTGATGTGCTTACCATGGGGTGACGTCATAGCCACGCGCGTCATCATTACGCATCTTCCCGAGATAGCGTCTGTGTGCCTGTCGCTTTGGTTTTAGTGACATCGCCATCCATCCCTATAAATAGATGAGGGTTTTGTTTTTTCAGAAGTTTCCACCATTCCCTTCCTTGCATGAACACTATTTTCCTTCAATCTTCTTTGCCAGTTCCTGTTATTGACTTTGTGTTTACGATTCCGTTTCTCTCCTTCTTACCCAACCATCACCTCTTTCTTTAGGTTTAATAGCACACCTTTTGTCGTTGAGATGTCACAAACCCTTCGCATTCATGATGAAGTTTCAGACGCCACTCCGTTGTCGGTGGCTCCTCCTTCCGGCGGTGAGGATCTCGTGGCTGAAGAGGGTGAGAGTTTTCCTACCGTAGAGGAGATAATTCCCAGGAACCCCTTGTCCAGAAGCGATTTCCACAAGGAACCTGCTCCTACTCCCGTTCCGGTCATCTCCGAGATCGGGTCGTCTCATATAGCTGAACTCCGATATACATATCATATCCCTTCTCACGTCGAGATGGTTCCGGCTGGTGGCGACATCGTGGAGGTCCATCGACTTGGGTACTGTGCCTTTTATGTCTACCCTTTCTTAATTGGTTATACTCTCCCCCTTCTTCCGTTGGCGGAGGAATTCTGCCGATTTTACAACGTCTGCCCGGCACAGCTGTCTCCGTATTTGTATAAAGCTTTCCTGATGCTGACAAAGTATGCGGAGTTGGCTGGTTGCGATGTCAATACCCACCACCTATTACACTTGTTTTCACCAAGTTTTTACAGAGGCACTATGATACACCTGCGACATTGCGGGACCAGAGGGCTAATAGTTGGAATGGACGATAGGACGAATCGAATGTTTTGGCACAAGTACTTCTTTATCAAAACCGAGCACTTGGTGTCGGACCCTGCTGGATTTCCCGGGCAATGGAATCATAATCGTAGGTGTTGATGGCATACGCTTGTTATCTTCTTTCGTCCCTTTTGATTTTCATTCGTTTGTGGTTTCTTTGTGTTGTTTTTTTTAGTTGAGAGGCGTGCACCCTTTCCCGTCGTCGGCATTGAAGACTGGGTGGCTCGCGTGTTACCTCACATGGCAACTCTTCAAGATTGGGCGGTCTTCTACAAACGCTTTGGACCGAAGGTCCCGTCTAGTAAGTGTTACTTTTGTTTCGGCCTTCTGTTGTTTGCCGTTATTTATTGATACGACCTCTTTGTGGTGACAGGTCGACGGGCTTCAAAAAAGAAAGCTCCAGTGTCGGTATTTTGCCAGGCCATTGCATCGGCAGGGATGCAATTTACTTTGGCTGAGTCCGCCTGCGGAGGTCATACTCAAACTTTGTCAACTAGGGACCCCCTTCCTCGGAATATTGCTGTACGGGATGAGATCTCTTCCCGGCCTATCTACCACCTTATAGATGAGTCCGAGTAGTCGCCATCGAGAAAGAATAGGAGAATGGAACTCGGAAAGACCGTCGCCACTAGCATTGAAAAGAAAAAGGTCGTTGCCTCGAGAGCGGCATCCTCACCTATGCCAGACGTAGGGGCCGTTTTTATGGCGGATGCTATTTTGTCAGGGAGGTCCCCTAGGGCCGAGGGGGTATACCAAGGCGGGGGGCCTGCACGGGCTGTTGAAGGTGGCGCATCGTCGGCGACCGGAAGAGATAGAGCGGTGCTCGCAGAGGACGACGGTTCAGGCTCGAACATCGATCCCGAAGAGGTGCGGGCCTTTTTGGAGAGAATACCCGCATGGAAGTGAGGATGGAGGGTCCTAACTGACACGTAATCATTCCCGTTGGTTACGATCTTTTGGCGAACTCTAAGCAGGCAGTGTCGTCCTTCGCTCCCTTGTGCGCCGCTTCTGAGAACGCGACGCTTCAGGCGATGAGTGATGCAGTGCTATTGCGGAGTACTTTTGGCATGGCTTTGCGAGTAAGTGTTTTTTCTTTTCCTGTTAGGATTTGTTTCGCATGCATAATCTGCTTATGCTAACTTTCTTTCCTCTGCATGTCAGACTCTCATTATGGAGATCGAGCGCGACCGGAGGGATGAGCAGAGGACGACCGTTTTTAAGAAGGTGACCTCCAAGTACAAAGAGTACCGTACCAAGCACCGTGCGTTGGCTGATGTCTTTACTCAAGTTAGCGAGTTTCAGCTATTTCGCGACGGGCTTAAACAGAAAGAGGAAGAGTTGGCGCAGAAAGTTGAAGAGCTGAAGGAGCGGGATTATGAGCTGATGAAGGCCATAGGTCGATGCAGCGAGCTTGAGGCGGCTCTTAAGGCCAAGGATGATGAGCTCGAGGTGAGCAAGGGGATGATGGCCGAGAATGCCGATCTTCAGGCGCGGGTGGCTTCTTTAACTGTTGAGCTTGGGCAAAGGGAAGCGGAGGCTGTCGATCTGAAGGGCGAGTTGAGCGTTAAAGTCGATGAAGTGGCTCATGCCAAAAAAGGCAGGGTGGCCGCCGTATCTAAAGTAGCAGCCTTGGATGATTCCCCCTCGTGTTTGTAGGTCTGAGCGGGATAATGAGGTGGAGACGTCGGCGCTCAAGGTAGAGAGTTTAGAAGAGTGGATCCAAGATCTGGAGGCAGAGTTGTCCGGATTGAATGAACAGGTTGTTGCTTTGAAGGCTGAGGAAGTGCGACGACAGTCGTAGCCGTCTACATCTCATACTTATGTCGATCCCATCGTGCCGCGGGAGTTGTATGAGATGTGGGTTCATGCCGAGGCTCAGCTTGATGTGTACAAGTCCCTGAAGGCTGACGGGAAGGTTTCTGAGGCAGAGCTCGAGGGTGTCCGTGTTAAAGCACGTGCGGCCCGTGAAGCCTGTGGTTATGATTCCGGTACACCTGGCGGGAACGATGTCGATGATGATGCGGACAGCTCGCCTCTGATTCTTGGTATAACGAGGAGTATGCCGAAGGGGATGACGTCGTTGTATTTATTTTTGTTTTGCCTTGCTATTTTTGTGAGGGCGGGCCCTTTATAAAAAGTTTTGTAATGTAAGTGTTGTAATGGAATGA